CCATCAGTAATGTGGTGGCCCTTCAGCACAACACTGCCTGATGTGTGCCAGCCCCTCAAACTTCCCCGATTCATGAGCTCAAACAACAGATCTGGAAAAAAATTAACTACAGATGCCAGGCAGAACCCAAGCACAAAGCTGAACAGCAATTGTTCAGCCTGAGCAGTGCTGTTAGCTACAGTGTTAAGAAAATATTTGAGCATTTCAAGAAAAAGAAGGTGATTCACGTGCCTTTCCATTTAGTAAATGAAACCTGCAATTGTTTTCCCCATGAACTGAACTGCAGTTCCCACAAACCTGCTCTGTGTGCTGCAGTGAGCTGCTTTTGCTCAGTAGTCCTGAGTCTGATTACTTGTCTTGGCAAATGTGGACCCAAACTTCCCAACTTTTTATCTGTGCCCTTTCCCAGCAGTCACCCCTCTGTTACCAAAGCAGGTGGAAGCAGAGATGGCCAGCAGTCTGCCCTCTTGCAGGCACGATGTAGTAACTGTCTGGGATCTTCCCAGAGCTGTCTGGGAATGCTGCCTGTGTGTTCCACTGAGATAGCTGGTGTGATTTCCTGTCATATTTATGCCCCTGGATGGGGTCTGTGGCAGGACACAGCAGCCTTGCCAGATAAACACTGAGTGCTGCCTTTGAGCTGTCAGTTAGCTCAGTTAGCAGTTCTAGCTGCCTCCTTTGCAGGGTTTCGTGGGTTTTTAGGGAAGAACCAAATGGATGAAAAATGATAAATTTTGTAGTAGAATGTGAATTATTGCCATGGAAGAGATTCCCTCTTCTTTCCTCTTATAGGGACAGAAAACATGTTCTCTCAAACTTTTTTTTTTTTCCTGTGTTCTCTGCATCTTATTTAATGTGGTGGTTGCTGCAAGCAGAAATGTTTGCTAATTGCTTATTTTTGTGCATTTGTAGCACTGAAGCCATACAGTAAAGCAGTTTACTATTTTATGCATATCTGGTTTATAGACACAAAAGAGAGTGGTGAACATATAGTGTTAATGATTTATTTTATTTTCAGGAAACAAGGAACATCATTTAGGAGACTCTCCATGGGAGTTTGCAGAGTGCAATATTCTGCATTCATACAAAATGGTGGTTGTCTTTTAAAAAATTGGACAGCTCAGTGCAGGAGAATGTTCTAAAATTATCTTGGTGTGTACAGCACTACGTCCCTTTGTGTTTATTTGAAATTCTCTCCTGCAGAGGTTACTAATGTAGAGAAGTGAGGGATGGCTGACACACAGTTTCAGTGTGCAATTATTTTCACTGTTAGATTTGGAGCCCTTTTCCTAGTTTGGTGTTTTAATTTCTGCTCCTAGTCATTTGTTAAGAAATTTCGTGTAGATTCAGACAAGCTGTGATCTTGGAATTCCTTAAATTTCTCTTTATTAAAAGAAATTAATCTCCTTTTAATTTTCTGATCTTTTATTTGCATTACTGTTGTTCTTCTGATTCTTCTGCAGCTGATTCTTCCTGATTTGTGGACATTGATGCTTAATTACTGTAGCTTATCCAAACATGGAAGTAAATAAATCTTTCTATCCCTAAGCGATGTTCCCTATTTTACCAAGCAAAGGTGGTGTTAGCCCCCTGCTGCAATGTCATACCTGGGAGAGCATCCTTGCTGGATTCTGGGACTCCTCTGCATTGAGCCCTCAGCTCCTCTCTTCTCTCCTGGTGTACAATCTTGCTTTTGACTGCTCAGCCCTGTGCACTCACCCCTTCCCTCTCCTTGTTCCCCTCTGGGGATCCCTTGCAGGTTTTCCCATTGCAGTGGGTGTGTTGTGTGCCAGACCCCTGGTTATGTTCCAGGGAAAGCACTGAGTGTATTCCCTGCCTTTTCCCGCTGTAAATCCCCAAGCTACACTTGGTTGCTGATGTGTGTAACCCTCTGCCCCTGGGCTGTGTCCTTGCCCCAAAGCTCTCTGTGTTCCAGAGGTTCTTCCAGCAGTCCCCCTGTGGGTTCAGTGGCTGTTGCTGGTGTCAAGGCACTCATCCTGCAGGGACATGGATTTATCCTGGCAGGGGGTGATGTGTCAGACTGACCTTCTCCTGGGGCAGGAGGGGGACCAGCAGCCAAGGTGTTACAGGCTGTATATTCCACAGCTGTCTCAGAATGTCACCAGCAGTCAGCAGTGGAGTTTGACTCTATATCGCTGAAATGCTCTCTCAGGGGCAAGAGGGACCTGCAAACGTCCCTGTGAGCTTCTGCTGCCTTTGCCTTGAGTGTTTGTGGCTTCTTGCAGAAGCACCAGCAGGTGAAGATTGCAGCCCCACCCACGGGGAACAATTGTTGTTCACCACCAGCCCTGCTGGGAGATGCTGGGCCGGACCCAGGAACCCACAGGGCACTTGATACAGAGCCAGGCAGCCCTTGGCACCTTCAGCAGGTGGCCTCCAGAACCCAGCCCAGGTTTGGAGCCAGGAGGAGCATTTGCAAATTGTGTCTTTGACTGAACTGCCAACAGCAGCATTAATTTTGGATCTTCAGAGCTCTCCCATCTCACTGGCCTGAGCAGAGCAGGTGGAGCAGCAGGAATTGCTGGCCTTGGACTCTTGGGAATTAGGCTGGGGAGAAAACAATTGCTTGAGTTACCACCACAATTTTTCTGTGAGGATGGGGTGCACAGGAGGAGAAGGGCAGAGTGTACATCCTCTCCAAGCTGTTACATCAAATCCAGAGCATCCAATTTCTGTAGTAAAAATGCAAGACAAATTCTGGAAATTTCTTAGAATTTTAATCAGAAGCTTTTAGAACTGTGAAAGAGAAAGTTGGGTGGTTATAAATGTTCAATAAGCATCCATTATTTCAATTTCACATAAATTGCATTTTTATTGTTCACTCTCTGGGAAATTCAATAATATTTAAAATTATTTTCACAGGTTATATTTTCTTTACCAGTCCATCTTTGAATGTATTAAGTAAGGGATGCATTCAGTAGCTGGTCTATATAATCACAATGGTTTTGCTGGCAGGAAACTCCTGAACCTGGGGAAGAGATGGTTGAGTTTGTCTGCACACGAGAATGGTCCTACCAAGCCCACTGGGACACAGAGAGGGTATAAGGGGCTGCAAACTCACAGAACTTGTGAATGAGAGAAGAATTGCTAAAATAGTACAATTGGTGTCCGTCTCCATATATTAAAAAGCGCAGGATTTGGGGATGTAAATCTTCTTGCTGTAAGAGCTGAGAATTCAGTGGAAAAATGCAAAGTTGAATGGTCAAAAAAAATTCAGAAACAAATTTGGAATCTGCTCTTCATAGGAGTGGTGGCAGCAGAGTGACCCTTGCCTGTCCACAGCTCACCAGGAGTCCCTCGTTCAGGCACTGCCCCAGCCCTTGACCCTGGGATGAGATTGCAGCAGTCCCCCCTCAAGCCAGTGTTTACCAGTGCCCTTGTTCTGGTGGCAGAGGAGCTGGATGTTTCTGTTCCAGCTGTGGCAGTGCCCAGCTCAGTGTGCCTTGTGGTTTTTGGGGCTGTGTCTCCTCAGCAGGCCGTACCGGCTGAGGTTGAGTTGGCAGACGAGCTTCTTGGAGAACTTCAGAGCCCACGCTGCTAAAAGAAGCGTAATTATCGCTCCTGCCATTAAGATGAGGTCTCGCCAGAAGAACTGCAGACACCTGAGCGGGAGGAGCCTCTTGCACATCCCCAGCTCGTTCCCGGTCAGCTCTGCCAGGGCTCTCGTCCTGAGGGGTTCTGGGCTGGCACACCTGATGCTGCGCAGGGAGGGCACAGACAGGTCCTGCAGCCAGAGCTTCACGTGCAGGAGGTGGCAGTCGCAGTGCCAGGGGTTCCCGGCCATGTCCACGCTCTGCAGGCCGGGCAGGCTGTCCAGGAGCCCCGCGGGGACGCGGCTCAGGCTGTTGTTGCGGAGGTCCAGGCTGCGGGTGTTGCGGGGCAGGGCGGGCAGTGCCCGCAGCCCCCGGGAGCTGCAATCCACGTGCAGCCCCTTCCAGCCGCCCAGGGCCTCGCAGCTGCAGGAGGGGGGACACGCTGAGCCCCGGATCATCGGCAGCAGCACCGCGGCAAACCCCGCGGCAGCCAGGAACGCCAGCCTGCTCATCCTGCCTGCCCGGGGAACAACAACAGCGATCAGCGGCATTCCCGAGCATCATCCCGAGGGATGCGGCACAGCTCCTCTCCCAGGGTTGCCCCCACGGCTCAGGGTTTTGGAATGCAATCTTTAGCTGTCTGCATTCCTCCTGACATCACCACGAACGCACCGCACGGAGCACAGCGCTGCCCTTTTGTCCCTGGTTCTTGGCTTTTCCTTCCTAATTGTACAGAACAAGTTATCGTTCAAAGTTCTGGGACACAACAAGACAATGGTATGACCTAGGTTAGTCTCAGGCAAAGTATCTTCATAGATCTAGTGTTGGAATCGCTTTTCAAAATGAGGCTTTAGGGACTGAATTATTGTAAATGCCTAAACATCTTTTTTTCTGATAGTATGAAGGTTCTAACCAGGAAATACCTACTTTTACATGACAAAAAGTTCTCTTTTTTGCCACCTTGTAGCTTCACGCACCTCTGATAACAGACAGTTTAAGATTTGGATGAATAGAGAATTGGAAATTTTGCATATCTGGTACTGCTTGTCCTTTAGGGAATAAATAAACATTCCAGCAGGTAATTATGCCTTTTCCTATGTCATTCCCACTTCTGGAGGGTGGATCCCACAAGACTTCCATCTTGGTCCCTTCTGTTTGGCAGTTTAAAGCTATTCCCTTCCTGCATTCCCTTCTAGATCTCTGCATTTAAAAATACATTGCAAATCTTGGCACAGGACTGGAACTGGAAACACAAATTCATTTGAATAGTTTGAGGAATTTCCAATTTGAAACCATCTTTCTTTATGATTTTAATACATCCTAGAATTAAAATGTATTTCCTCCTTTTTTCCCCCCTCAAAGAAACCAAATACAGAGTGAAAGAATACAGTGTAGTTTTTTACATAGTAAGGCAATAACGAGATAAAATTACACTAATGTAGAATGAAATTTAGAAAAATAATTGTTCAAAATGGTTTCAAGTGCAAAGGTATTTTAGAACTAAAAAAAAAAAAAAAAAAAAGTTTTCCTCTTAAGGTGAGATAATTTTTTCTCCAGTAAGTATCATTTAATAAAGACTGAAAGTATAGGGGAAAATGGATTGATTTTGTTTTAAATTATTTACTTCTATTTGCTTTCAAGGATTATGTAATTAGCTTTTCAAAATTAATTCAGGCAGGTTTAGACTCCTCATCTAAATACTACATTCCTATATTTTGAGTTGGATTAATGCTGCATAAAATTATAAACTTCACAGGCAAGCTGAAATACTGCTCTTCTCCTGTGTCTGTCAGCAAATAGTTGTTCTATCTTTGCTCTGACTGCAGATACTGATCTGTGATTTTTCAAGTTGTTTTTCTCCAGGTAAACACCTTAAAAGGACAGACTGTGCCATCTGATACAAAAAGGTTAAGTGATATCTAGAGAAAAGATGTGCTCTGCTGATTTAACATGGAAACAGCAAGGAATCCAGGCTCAGATAGGAACAGGAACCGTGGCAGAAGTGCAGAAGGGAAGAGCTGAGTGCCACTCACCCTGCTGGGGCTGCTCTGGGTTCCTGGGAGCACTGGCTGGGGGCAGCGGTGCAGGCTGCTCTGGGAACAGGAGCTGCTGCTGTGCACGGGGAACCCTCCCACTGGGGGGAAACCCTCCCACTGGGGGGAAACCCTCCCACGGGGAGATAGATCCCTGTGTGGCTGGCTGTGTCCCAGCCCACAGTGCCTGGGGCAGTCTGTGTGCTGCTGCAGGCAGGGGGAGATATTTCTGACCCCTTGCTTTGCTGCTGGTGTGTTTTTCCTGTTGCATCTGATGGCATCTGGAAAACCTCATCTGAAACCTAGGGAGTTTTTTTTTTCCTCAGCTATAAAAGTCCACAGGTCTAATCTAAAAGTTACTCTGGGCTTCAGACTGCTGACACACACAAGCCCCAGCAGGACATGAGGGTGCTGACGTTTGCCCATGAAATGGGTTGTCAGTCAGGTGGGTTTGACATCTGCCTGCCCACTGCTCAAACAAAACTTGTAAAAACACACCATAACATCAAAGTAACTGCAGCAGCGAGATGAGCTCAACTCACACTTGTCAGATGAGTTCACTGATGGATAGAGAAATATTAATGCCATTGACTGGAACTGAGGGAGTAGAAATAGTGTTGAAGTCACCCAAAATACAGGAGTTCTGGTCAACAATGTTCTGAAAGGTTTCAGCTAACAAGTGAAAGGATCTTCTGTGAAGATCCAGGGCTTGGAGAGATGATTCTATGTGAGGAAGGAGAGAGTGACCTGTACCTTCAGTGCCAGCAATGCAGGAAAACCTGAGCTGGAAGGACTCAGACACCACCTCAGGTGTGAAGAAGGAAGGGGGTGTGTGTGTGTGTGTGTGTTGCGGATGTGTGTGTGTGTATCAAAGCACCAATCCCTATTTTGGTCCACGGGATATTTTGTGGAATTGAATTTCTCTGCAGTGTTCTAGCCTGGTTTGGAGTTCAGAGCCAGAGTCCAAGATAGTCAGGGAAGGTGCCCTGGGAAAGGCTCCAGGTCAAGGCTCCCCTGAGCCAGCAGAGCCCAGGGCACAGGGACAGCCTTGGCACAGGTAGAGCCTTTTTTCCCAACCCAGGAGCTGGGGATAGCCCAGAGCAGAACTGTGATCCTGCAGATTCTCCACACTCAGGTTGCTGGAGGATATCAACTGCTAAATAACAGCCATGTGACACCCTCTGTGTGCATTTGGCTGGAAAGGCAGGAATTCAGGAGGATGCAGGTCCATGATGGACATGTACCTCTTCAGCTGGTTGTGTAAAACATAAACAAAAGCAGGATTTTCTTTTCACTTTTCCTGTAGTGTGCAAAATTTTGGGATAGAATTGAACAAAGTTGTCCTTTTCTTCAGCTACCGATCATGAACACACTAGAATTCAGACAGCAGCTGTCATTTGGAAACCCACCTGGTTGTGGAGCTGATGTTTAATTCAGGCCAGCTCTGTGCAGTGTGTTGTTTTGGGGACAGGCTTTGAGCTGTGTTCTGCCCGGAGAATGAAGCCCAGGTGGGGTTCTGGTGTTGCAGATGTGCAGCAGAGCTGTGTTCCAGAGCTGTTGTTCCTTTACAGTGTGTGTTCCTGGGAGGAAGGGAAATTTCTGACTTATAAATTATTCTGGAAGCAATTCTTATGGTTTAATTCTCACTTCTATGTAAGGTGCTTTTCTTCATTAGGTCTAATCAATTCCCAGGAGCCTGAAGTTTGTCAGGAACTTGTTTAGGAAAATGCCTTAACGTGTTTCTCAGTTCTTTAGCATTTAAAAGGTAATTCAGACAGTGCCCGAGGGAAAAGACAAAAATCCTCAAACCCCATGGGACTTTCGATCTCTTCTGTGAGATGAGGAAAGTGATTCTTTGTTGAAAAGACTTCCATCTGCCAGTCAGATGTTCAATGGCTGGACCTGTGAGTGGACTGATAAGAATTAGAAGATCTTTGTGTCTTAGGGATTGTTTCACTGGTTTTGGAAAGGACAACCCTAGGTGAGATTTCCTGCATATCTTCCCGCCCTGTGCCTGTTTCCTGTACCACACAGCCTGTGCCACGTGTCCTGAGGAATTCTGCCCCACAGGATAACCTATTGCTGGCTGTCCCTGCTGTGTCCCAGGAGGGGGCAGAGGGGGCTGCTCGTGCTGAGCCCCCAGATCTGTCCCCTCCTTCAGCTCTGGGGGGGAGGGAGTGTCTGCAGGGAGTGTCTGGCAGAAGAACAAGGCACTTGCATTTATGATTTTAGGGCTCTATCTTTTTGTAGGCCAAATGAGGATTCTTCATCTAAAAGGACTTATTAAGAGCCAAGTTGAAAAAAATAGTTATAATCTGCTATAATCCTGTTATGGTCCGAAAGTTTTTTTTCCACGGAGTGGATGCCTTTGAAGTTTTTGTGAATGAGAGAGGCTCTCCCTCCTCTCAGAGGAGAGGCATTTTGAATGCTGTTGTTTACCAAGCAGCCCTCTCTCACCACCTCACCCCTGCAAGCACATTTCCCTGGATCATCTGTCCTTTGAGGCCTCACGTGGGTGTTGCATCTGCTTTTCCAGGGAGAGAAGGAGTTGAGGGGACATTGCTGGTTCCCTTGTGGTTAAGGACAAAAGCTGCAAGTTACAGATAAATGTGCTGTTCAAACATGTGACCTGCCAAGAGGAAGCTCAGGCAGAAGTTGTGATTATCTTTTATAGTCACTTACAAGGAGTTACAGTCATTCATTGCTGTCAATGACCTGTTCTTGATCTGCAAACACTCAAGTTTTCTCAAGCACTATTTCCATTTCCAGTGCTGAAAAAAACCTGGCCACACCACATTATCATTGCACAGCAAAAGTGCTTCTCATTTAAGGTCTGTCACCTTGATTAAACGTGTTCTTTTGCACTTTCAAATAGGTTGGTGACAACAGAGTAACCAAAATATATCATTACAATTGGATGTGAGTCACTGGTAATTAATGAATTATATAGAAAGAAGCAAGAAGAAGGAAAAAAAAAAAAGATCAATCATGAAATTCATTCATACATCAAGGAATATTGCTCGCAGAAATGAACTGAAGAAAAACTGGTTTCCCTCAAATCAGGAGTTATTGTTACCCGAGGGCCAAAATATTCCTCTTACCCCCAAGAGAACTGGCCTGTTAAAGCCTTTTGAATATTTATACAGAACAGGACTCTGAATTTCTTCCTGTCCATACTCTGCTTATTGTGGTGTTTCCTGCTGCATATTTGTTGTGGTTTTACCTGATGTAATTTTACCTCTGTCAAATTAAATATCCCGTTTCCCCAGAAGGCAGATGAACTGTTGTCACTTGGGAAATTCTTCTAAATTGTACTCCACCCGTTTTTTCGGGTCGCTCTCTCTCCTCCCCCCCACCGTGCTGCAGAACCTCCCTCCTTGCTGTTTGCCCTGCTCAGTCCCTGTGCCATCCCCAGCCGTTTCTCATCTTCCCACTAGGTGTCATTCAAGTTATTTTGTGCTGAAATATCGAGCATCCCC